GCAGTGCTCTAGGGAACAGGCAGAACTTCTACTGCCCAAGATCCCTGGCAGCGTGGAATGGTACCAGCCCCTCACCCCACCACCTCCTCTCACTGATCGGACTCTATGTGAATGCAAAATAAACATCTATTGTGTCAGCCCCTGAGATCTGGGACTCAACTATTACAGCAACTAGCAGGACAGCAACGAATGTACCCATGTTATAAGTCTCGGCGAGAGGGAGTCGTCACCTCCTGCTACAGGAACTGAAAAGTCATACCCTCTCTGTCCTCCTCTCCTTTGCATCTAGAGCGCGTGCGTGCGATCTCAGCATCTTATCCGTCAGACACACCCACACCAGATGTGGACGCATGAGCTAGTGACACAAAGAAGCAGGGCTCACGTGGAAAGCGTTCTGGAAGGGGAGGTGGTGGCAGAGGCCATTCATCCTGTTTTGGGGGCAGAAGTGATAACAGCAGTAGCATCCAATATCCAGGGTCATGACGTCAGTGATGTGAGGGTAGTGCTGGCTCCACCAGCTGACGTGCAACCCCTTCACAGGCTCAGCGCTGCCGTGTGATTTCAGGCTCTCGCGTGATAGCCACCAAGCCTGCTTCCCCAGCCATGTCAGCGAGTCTGTGCCCTGTGTAATAGCTTCCAATAAACCCTTCTTCTGCTTCAGTTAGCCAGAGATGATTTCTGTCATTTGCAACTAAAAATTCCTATGGATACAAATGCATCCCCTTTCAGTGAAAGATGGATGCACGCTCTTGCCCCCGGCCGTGTGGACGCTTCCTCTAGGGTGTACTGTTCACTTCCTGAGTCAGAGTTGACTTGTGCTGGGAGCAGCTCATCTGTTCACTGGTGGCTTTGGTACGCTTCAGGAGAGAGGTCTAACGCGTTTGTATTTTGACTGCCCCAGGTTGTGCTGAAGGAGGTGAAAATTTGACCAAAATAAAGCCTGCTATTTGGGAAAATGGGAAAACAGAAGGAAAAGTGAAGTCCTAAAAATATATCTTGTGGAAATACCCAAAGAGGAAGAAGAAAATAAGATCTTCCCTGGGAATACGGTACTGGATGGTGCAAAGAGATAGAAAACAGAACGGGCTTTTTAGGTCAACTGGTTTCTTCCTGCAACAAAAGCATAATTTAGATTTCGTCAAGGTATATGACCTCTCAATAGCCCTGTGTTCCAAACTCCAGCAGAACTAGGTCAAAGAAAAGGTATTGTACAAGAGTGAGGGGCATCGGGGCAGGCTAGCTGGCTTTTTTTCTCAAGACATCATTCCTGGGCGATCACTTTACATGATCACTGCCTCTGTCTTGCGCCCAACACATCTATGTTGGTCCCCAGCTTCCTTCCATATTTCACCCAGTGACGTTTCTGGAGTCTGGTATGTTATAAGATTGGCCCCCAGTGACTCGTGCAGTGTGACAGGGCCCCTTTTCTACCACCTGAATCTGAGCTGTATTTGGGATTGGCTGGGGTCGATGAAAGATGGTAGGGGTGACTTGGTGCCTGTCCTGGAGGCTGGGCCATAAGAGGCCTTGCAGTGTTTGTGTTCCCCCCTTTGGAGCCCGGAGACCACCTAGCTGTGAAGATGCCTCATCCCACCCATTGGAGGCTGAGCGCACGAAGGGGCCAGGGCTGGTAGCCAGCCCTAGACATGAATGGTTAAGTCAAAAAAGAAAACAATTCGTATGAGGTGAGACCAAAACATTCACTGTGGTAGATTAAAAACCCCTACTCTATTGGTGGGAATATAAATTGGTACAGCCACTATGGAAAACTGTACGGAGATTCCTTAAAAAACTAAAAGTAGAGCTACCATATGATCCAGCAATCTCACTCCTGGGCATGTATCCGGACAAAACTGTAATTCAAAAATACTTAAACACCCCAATGTCCACAGCAGCACTATTCACAACAGCCAAGACACGGAAACAACCTAAATGTCCATCGACAGATGAGTGGATAAAGAAGATGTGGTACATGTGTACAGCGGAATACTACTCAGCCATAAAAAGGAATGAAATAATGCCTTTGCAGTGACATGGATGCAACTAGAGGTCATCATACTAAGTGAAGTAAGTCAGACAGAGAAAGACAAATACCATATGATGTCACTTATACGTGGAATCTAAAATATGGCACAAATGAACCTATCTACAAAACAAAGAGACACACAGTCATAGAGAACAGTCTTGTGGTTGCCAAGAGGGAGCGGGGGAGAGAAACGGATGGACTGGGAGTTTGGGGTTAGTAGGTGCAAACTAGTATATATAGGATGGATAAACAACAAGGTCCTTCTGTATAGCAGAGGGAACTATATTCAATCTCCTGGGATAAAGCATAATGGAAAAGAATATGAAAAAGAATGTATACGTGTGTGTTATTGAGTCATTTTGCTGTACAGCAGAAATTAGCACAACATTGTAAATCAACTATACATCAATACAAAAAATGTTTTTTAAAAGAACCCCTGTTGGGCTTCCCTGGTGGTGCAGTGGTTGAGAGTCCACCTGCCGATGCAGGGGACGTGGGTTCGTGCCCCAGTCCGGGAAGATCCCACATGCCACGGAGCGGCTGGGCCCGTGAGCCATGGCCGCTGAGCCTTCGCGTCCGGAGCCTGTGCTCCACAACGGGAGAGGCCACAACAGTGAGAGGCCCGTGTACTGCAAAATAAAAGAACCCCTGTTGGTGACGAGGGGCTGGCCGACTTCTAGAATCTAATTAACTTTGAGCCCCTTCGATTCAAAGATGGGTTAACTTGCGAAAAAAGCTGTAAGCCACATAGAACTTGCGCTATAACAGTAACTCAGATTTAACTCAGCAAACCTTAAAAGTTCTTCCTTTGAATTTCGGGAAAAACAGGAAGCTGTCAAAATAGGCAATTCTATTGCATTACTGCACCAGAGACACTTAATTTCCACCACCTTCCGTGGCATTTTCTGGCATTTGTGCAAAATGCCAGGGAAACATTGCCCCTCTTTTCTGTACAATCTGATCATTTGATCATTGGACTCCCTCAGCCCAAAAACCTTTTCCAAAATAATCTCCCTAAATTAGATTCCTAGAATTTCTAAGGATGCACAAGAATCCTCTCAGGTAATAGTTTTTAAAAAGTGAAGAAATGGCCAATTGTTCTTGGGTGAAAGGTGTCCTTTAGTCACTGTGAGGTTCTGGATGGCCATGACCTGACTCCTGTTTACCCTTCTAGCATTTTCTGTGACCCCTTCTTCCCAAACCACCTGGAAACCGCATCTGGCTCCTTCGTGCCTCTTTGTCATCACACCAGCTGTTCCCTCCTCTGTTGAGCTGACCAGACTCCGGTCCGATTGCAGTGCCCCTTCTCTGGCCCCCAAGCATCCCATGTACAGTGCCACCTTAACACTCACCTCGCTGAGCCGTAACTGCCCATCGCGTGTCTGCCTTGCGACGAGGCTCCAAGCTCCTTAAGGCGGGGCCTTCACTTCTGTACTCGAAGCGCCTAAGCCAGTGCTTGACATACTAGCAGTACTAGCAGTGCTGAATAAATGTCTCCCAAGTGAATATTAGACCCATACGCCCAACTAGCTACCTGACGTATTCACTTGGATGAATCAAGCGCATTTGAAAGTACCCAAAATGGAGCTGTTGGTTGCATCCTCAAATGCAAAAGTGTTGCTCCTCGTTCAGGCTTCCCAGCTTCAGTAAACGCACCCCTGTCCACCAGGCACTCAACCTAGAAAGCGGGGAGTAGCCTGAGCACTCCGGCTTCCCTCGCCCCAACATGTGGGCCCGTCCACCTCCGAGCCTCCTAGCACGTCTGTGCCTCTAGCATCTTCTCCTGCTGGGGTGACTACAGGACACTCCTAAGCGGTCCCCCCCTTTTTTGCCTTCGTCCCCTCTGGCACCCTCTCCACACGGCTACCAGAACGAGCTCTTCAGGTGCAAACTAGGTCAGGCATCCCCCTTTCCAGAACCCTCCATGGCTCCCCACTGTGCACAGAAGAAAAATGCAGCCCTTCCCCCTGGCCAGGAGGCCCCCATGACCCGGCCTCCCACCCTCTCTGGTCAAGTCATTCCTCCCCAGTTGCTCCCGACTCAGACATTCAGCAGTTCCCAGTTCTGGGCCTAGAACATTCTTGTTCCTGTTCTCCTCAGGATCCTTCCCTGACGATCCCATCTCATGTACCACTTCCTCACCCTCTGCAGTGATTTTGGTCACAGACCCTTATTCACCTCCTTACACCTTTTCTGCAAGCTGTGACTGCTTTGCTCATTTGTCTACTTGTTCATTTTCCACGTCATGAGGGTAACACTCAAGGTCACGTGCCCACTGCATCCCCAGCATTAGAACATTGCCTGACACAGAGGGAGGGCTGTATTGGAGAAAGGCGTGTATGAATCAAGGATAAACAAAGAGCCCAGGAGACGGGCCCATGAGCACATCTGTGACGCTGATCCCTGCGTGATCGCGACACAACTGCAGTGTCTGATTCATGGAAAAACCAGAGTCACACTTCCCAGATTCAGGCCAACTCAGTCACCACAGGGCAGTAAGCATTCGTGTAGTGCCTGCTCGTACGCGACCTCACTTAAATCACACAACGACTTTATGAGGCAGCCATTCTTATTATCATTTTACAGATGGTAAAAAAAAAAAAAAAAGCTAAGAGACGCTAAATGACTTACCCACAATAGACCATGACACTCGTAACCCAAGGAACCAGGTTCCATATGGTCCACACCCTCTTATTGCTTCGGAGCTTTTCCCGGAAGGAATGAAACCAAAACCCTGACTTGCGACTCTGAAGGTTTACACCAGACGTTTCACCTTATTATTACCTCAGATGACTGGGGTTTAGTTATATCCAAATACATGGAACAAAGTGATTGTAGCAAGTTCCCTAATTCTCATCCTGTAGGGCAGGCGTTTCATTCTTCCTTTTTAAGGGTGATTTCTTATTAAAGCTTCGCACGGTAATTAACTCAAATGACTGACTGCCAACAACTTCGACAATAAAGAGATTCTTACCTCGGAATTCTAGTCCCCGAAGTTGAAAGGTGACAAGACCGTTGCCAATTTCAATCAGGTGAACGAAAGCATTGAGGTAGTCTGAAGCCAATATAAAGCAATCTCCAGAGCTGTAGTTACCCCATCGGCCAAGGACGAGGTCTCCACAGAGGGACTCCTGGAGGGCCCTTGTCAAGTGTTCGTAAAAGATGGAATTGAGGTTGTTGCCATCGCTCCCTGAAGACAGGACGAGAAATAATATGCCCAGTGAGTCCGACTGCAACGTGCTTGACCTGGGAGACAGGGAGCTGTCTCTTGATTAGGGGTGAATCAGATCTTCAGACACTTCGCCCATCAGGGTGGTGACACCCTCCTATTTCTTCCCGCTATACTCTTTCTGGTCAATGTCATCTGCGCAAATGGATTGAGTTCCTGTCTAAACGAGACACCTGACAAATTCCTACCTCCAGCTGAGATCTCTGGCCTGGGCTCTTGACCCGTCTACTTCCTCGTGGACCTATCTCTTGTATGTTTCAGATGCTTCCCCCTGCAGTGGTCCAGGTCAGGTCCCCACGTCCACTCTCCACCTCAGCCAACGGCACCACCATCCAGTCGGCCACAACCTAGGAATCTTTCTTCCCACTCCTTCCCACCCAAGCCTCTCAATTTTACTTTCTTCAAGTATTTTTTTGCATCTTCCTACTTTTCTCCATTCCCATTACCCCTACCCTATTCCAAGCTCCATGATTTCTCAAGTAGATGACCACAGTGGTCATGTGACTCACCTATGCATCTTCACTGGGACCTGCTCGCTCATCGATTCTCTACCTCAAAGCCAGAACAAGCTTTCCAGACGGAAAAGGGGAAGGTGCCGTCCAGGACCCCCCAGCCCAGGATTCAAAGTGGTTTCTCAGGGCTCTTAAGATAGAGACGACTTTATAACATCGCCTGTAATAGGGTCCCATAAGTTATCCTTCATAGGAAGAAGCTAGGACAGCCCTGATCAACCCAGCGTGGACGGTCACACCAGGGGCGCCGTGCGGTCTGCTCCCCACTTCACTCTCCATCCTCACCTCCCACTAACCCCTTCCTCATCCTTCACGCTCAGCAACACAGAACTTCTCTCGGCTGAGTGACTCACAGGCCCCCGCCCACCCCAGGCCTTTGCAGACACTGATCTTTCTGCCTGGGTTTTCCTTCCATTGCTCTCTGGCTTATTACCGCTACGATTCTTCAGACCTCCACTCGACGGCCACCTCAGGGAAGCCTTCACTGACCACCTCGCCAGGCCAAGTCCCCTGTTACAGGCTGTCAGGACTGTGACCCTCTGCTTTGAAGCACTTGTCACAGTTGGAATTTGACTTCTGTTTTTTTTTGTATGGTTATTTGATTAACATTCGATTTCTCCAATGCACCCAACAGTGAAGGAAGACTGAATATGCTTATTTTTGTATCCCAATACTGGCAGAATTCCTAACACGTAGTAGAGAATCACTCACTCTCTGTTGAACGATAGGTAACACCATAGATGATACAGCTTCATTAAGAGAAATTTTGCCTCTGAGAACATTCCCATCGAGTGACTCCAGGGTTTCACTGAGATATAATTTACAGGTAATAAACTGTGTGTGTGTGTGTGTGTATACACACACACATATACATACATACATACATATATTCTACAATATAAATAATTATTGCTAGTATTATATATTATATACAGGAAATAAACAGTATATATACATACATTCAACAATATTCATAACCATTACTAGTATTATATATTATATACAAATCTATATGTAATATTATATATTATACACAAATCTATATATATACAAACCTATATTTTATATATTATATACATAGATATAAATTATTATATATTGAGGCAATTTATTGTTTTTAAGTTATATATGTATATCAAACTCAGACTTATTGAGGAATAACTTATAGAGGGTAAAATTCACCCTTTTTAGTGTCCAATCCTATGAGTCTTGACATATGCTTCTAGTCACGTAACCACCACTTAGAATGATGCATTTGTGTTTCATCCACACTGTGGTATAGAGCAGCAGTCTGTTCTGTTTCTTCTGTATGCAGCTACTACAGTTTGCTTATCCATTCAACAGCTTAAGGACCTTTGGGTTGTTTCCAGTGTTGGTGATGATGGGTAAAGCCACTCACAACACTCATGAAGAGAAGTTTATGTGAACACGTTTTCACTGCGCTTGAGTCAACCCCTAGGAGTGGCACTGCTGTTCTCCAAAGTGGCTGGACCGTTCTGCAGCCCCGTCACAGGGACTGAGAATTCTAGCTGTTCCGCATCCTGGCCAGGACTTGGTATCGTCAACTGTTGCTTGTTTGTTTAAACCTTAGCCATTCGAATCGGGTGGGTCAGGACCCCAAGAAGGAGGAAGGATACAGCAAAGGAGATGGCGTGATGGATTGCCCTGCTTCCCAGTGGAAGGCTAGTGTGTTTCAGGGGCGTGAAACTGGAGCTTTGTAGTGCATTTCTTGTCATCTCCTTGCTGGGCCCAGATTCCTTTTATTTCCTCTGTCAGATCTCTCACGATGAAGGATAGAACCTTTTCTGAGAAGAATGGGTAAACTGGGAAGTCCTCCTGGTCTGTGGTCTTGGGGGTGTTAGAAGTGCTGGGAGGGGCTAGGAGGAAAGTTTGCCATCAGTGCTTTTATTTTAAGAGCGTCTTTTCTTTGGGGAGTAAATTCTGGCTCTGGAAAGTCAGAGGAGCATAGAGTTGCCCCAAAGAGAAAAGGCCTAAAGCAAAGCTCAAGGACCCCTTCCAGCTACTGGAGTAGAGATAGAGGTTCAGGGAAGTTCGAGATAAAGCCTAGAGACCTGAACAGAGCTTCCCTGCTCTGTACCCTTGGGAACCAGAGCATGACTGGAGGTGCAGGAAGGTGCAGAGTGGCCCCAAGTGCATCCGCATAAGGAAGATCACTGATCCACCGCTAAGAAATCTACAAAATAACACTATCAAACTATGGATATCACTGCTAGGCATTCATGCCAGTTAAAAGCTGAACTGAAATTAGTGCATTTATAACCTAATCATGATTAACGGAAATAAATGAACTGTCCTATGGACTGAGTCAGGTCATGTTGTCTAATAAAGTATCAGTATGCTTAACTTTCTATGCAGATGAAGCCTTCCTGACCTGCCATGATATTCATTTTCTGTGATGAACCAGCATGTGTCCTGAGACACTAATCAGAGATTACTTTGAGTCTCTAGCACTTTTAAAGGAAAGGCCTGAATGAGAGAATTAACTTTTGCTTAACTGTTCAAACTGTTTGACATTCGAATAAAACAAAAGAACTTATACCACTAAAAGTGGAGAGCTTAGAGCACCATGACCACACACCTGTATAATTAGATTAAAATGAGACAAAATTATGAACAACTAAAGGTGCAATGCACTTATGAAACTGTCCGTATGCCTAATATCAATGGCCCAGCAAAGTTAGAGTCCCACGGATCCACATTAGAGATACTTATACCCCAACCCATGCCCCCTGAAAGTTGGGCTGACGTAAAGTTAAACAGAAAAGAAACCTGTCTCTTCAGGTATTTTCAAGTTCCAAATTATGATTTCAAACTAATTATGTATACGCAATTCAAACATAGCTAATAAGCATGACACAATTCTTCCTAGACAACATTTTTGGCCCAAGGGAGAGAGAGGGTGAGGTGGATAAAAATACAGAATAGTTGAAATTTGCATACTGATATGAGGAAAAAAGAGGTCGGATGGTTAAAAGTGAAATAGATTACCGGAAGAAAAAAGTACTTTTCTGGCAGGTAAATCTTTCCATAGCTTAATGTGGTACAAAGTTTCTGAAGACTTCTGGATCCTGGATCCTGGAATTGCTTGCCTTTAAGGACATCATAACACTGACATTTTTCAAAAACAAATTTTGCCAGAAGACTAATACCAAGGTTTATTGTCTATATTCGACGTTTAGCATACACAAACTAAAATGTATTAACAGGGTCATTCAATACTGAAAAGATATCTAATCATTTCTAAATAATGGAGGAATGCATTTCTAAACCAAATCAGGATACTTGATCAGTTCTATTTGCACAGTTTTATTTTTACCGTCAGCATGCATTGTCTCCACAATGATTAAAAAATAGTGAGTACTTAATTCCCCTTTTTGGATTGAAGGAATCCACCTACACAACAAAATAAATAAATAAAAAGAGAGAAGGAAGACATCCTCTTACCTGGATCCTTTTCAATTTGGACCACCAGTCTTGTGTTGGAATTATCCATGCGTCTTGTACTAGAAGGGGGCCACAAAAGGGGAAGAGGTCCTGATTAGATCCCTCCAAATGACAGTTGGCTCACAGAATCAGCTGTGTGAGTGGGAAATGCAGGGGAGATGGAGCTCACATATTAAGGTGTTTGCTCCACTTTGACAAGGCTGTCGGAAGAAGGAGGGGTTGGAAGGGAGGGAAAAATACAGAAAACACACAGAGGGAAGAGATAACTAGCACTTAGGATATGGGAGATTGGCCTTCAATCTTATCAGTTCTGAGCACCCGGTCCACAAAATGAAAGCAAGCATTTGAACTGCCAATGGACTGTCACTCACCTTCAGAACTTCAGAGCAGTGCACACATAGCTATCTTTCTTTTCAAATTGATTCCAGAAAATTCGTGATTAGTAGTCTATGTCTCCACTACTTGCCTTCAAGAGTTGGGCCCATTCTTACAGACCTTTCTTAGGCTGAACTACAAGAATAAAAACAGCTCTCACAAGCTTAGGAAAAGGTGGATTGTCTGTAGCCATGGTAACCAGTGGCCGCCAGAACCAGTTTTAAACCTTTGCAGTTATGACAACCCACCTCAACTTACAGCTTTGGTAAGCAAGCCAGCCAGCCCATGGTGGCCCCTTGCTTCTGAAAGTCAGCTGGTGAGGGACAGACTCAGTCCAGACCTCTCAGGGGTCAACAGTCACTCCCCAAGTGACTGCCCTGCAGAGGGTATCAGCCCACTTATGTCTGTAAAATTCACTGGCCCTTGACCTTCAGATGTCCCGAAAACCCTTTATCAGTGCAACAGTCTGCTCTGCTTGGAGGGACTGTGCCGGACCAGCTTTGACTTATTTCAGACATTGAGTGGTGGTCTTGTCATCCTTTGAAGGATGAAATGTGAAACTGACGTCAACCACATGAAGTTGACGATATTCAACTGTTTATGACCTGCAAAAATGGCAATTTCATATGGCTAAACCATACAAGTTTGAACATAATGAGGGTCCGATCTTTACCACGTCTGGCCCCTGACTTTGCCATCCCTCTGCCCTTTGCTTTCTGTGCTCCAACCACCCTGGCTTTCTTTTTCCGCGCCTTCAACACGCCCTGACCTCCTTCTCCCTCCCTCCCTCCCCTGCATCCTTTACACCTGTTGTGTCCTCTATTTGGAGGACTTCCTTTCCAGCTCCACCCACTTTTCCTTGTTCACTCCTCTAATCTTTCCCGTCCAGCTAAGTATCACCTTCTCAGGGAAGCCTTCCTGGCACCCGCTTTGGGTGAGATTCACACTTTCATACCTCTCCTTTGGAGCACGTGTCACAGTTAATATTACTACTAAAGCTGACCGTTAACATTTATGTAGCACTTACTCATGTAAGCACTTCACCTGTATTAACTCATTACATCTTCACAACCACCTTCTTAGGTGAATATACCTGTTCTCACAGAGCAAGAACCTGAGGCACCGTGGATTAAATGTCCAAAGTCACAGAGCCCATGAGTGGTCTAGCCGAGATCTGGACCCAGGTGGGTGGCCTCTGGAGCCTTCACTCTACATCATACACATCTTTGTGTGTGTCAACTAAAAATATATATATATTCACAACCTAAAAGTTGAAAGTTATGTTTCATTTGGGGGGAATTTCTAGGAATTCAAGCCAGGGAGGCAGCATCTCAAGTAAACCCGAGAGACTGCTCCGAGGAGGTGAGGGGGTAGCCAGGATATATAGAAGTTTTGCAACAAAGGGCAGGTAGTCTGAACGTCATATTGCTAATTAAAGAAAACCAGATATCTCAAGTTAAGGAATTTAGCACTTTTCTGTGTATGGGCAGATGCTAGAGTCTGGGCTCACTGAAATCATTCCTTTGATGTGTACCTCAGCTATCTCGGGCCAGTATCCTGTGTTTTCACATCCTGAGTTTCCTCAGGGCTCACTGTAGGGAAAGGCTGCAGTCTGATGGCTGCTAGATGGCAGGTATTCTTTTCCTTCCCGAGTTCCCTCAGGGCTCACCAGCTCACCATCAATTGCTGATGACTGTGACATCCTTTGTTTACTGATATGGCAGGAAATATTCCATTTCCTTTTCTTTTTTTTTTTTTTAAGAATATTGCATTTATTAATTTGAAAAGTAGACCCAAATACTCAGCAATATTCCATTTCTCACATGATAATTTGATTACATCTGCCTCTTACATCAGACCCTAAGGACCGTGAGGTACCATTTTGCTGACATCTGGCACACAGCAGTCACTCCATTTGTTGACAAAATAAATGAATAGTCAAAGATAATACTGCTGCTGAAGTGTTCTTCTCTGATAACACCTGCTAAGAAAAAAGGAGACTGCTTCTGGATAACATTTCAATGTGATTGTTGACATACTGAGTGTGATTAACTAAATGACGAGCACTTTTTAGTGCTTAGTCTCTTGGGAATCAGAGCAGATTAAAAAGATGCTTAGATGCATCTGTATTTTAAATAAATAAGAAAGTTTGTCTTCAGAAAAAAAAAAAGTATTCTCATTTCCTCCTATGTCTCAGATATTTGAGAACCATCTAGGCAGGATCCTATTTGAGTTTTGTAAAACAGACTCTACAGATGGGTTGGAAAGGAGGAATATTCTGTTACAGCTCAAAAAGGCCATTAACCCCAGCACAATGTTCTATTACTGCTTCAGTTTCCTTGCAAATCCCCTCAGACGGGCTTTGAAAATAAAAGAGCCTGGGGTGGTAGAAAATAAAGCAAACAACAAAATTCTTTCTAATGAAGGCTGGAATCCCATGTCGGCATAGTTAGTCCCTAAATGGAATTTTAATTTCACCTTAAGACCGAGGACAAATGGAATTTTCAGCAGCAGAATAAACAATTTTTAAAGTGGGACTGCGCCAAAAGAAAGCCATTTACCAAACTCCTTACGGAATTAAAACACCTTCTAAAGCTATGTTAACTGGAAGGCTATCTCTGCAAAAGGCTTTGGCTGCAGAGTGCTAAATTCTGCTCAGCGGTAACTAAGCTAGGCTGCCTGTGTGCCCCAGGGCCTCTGGCTCAGCCACCAGACTAAGAAGGCCAACTGTCAACGATACTGCGTATTCTGAGCTTATCTCCAGTGCTTTCCTCCTGTAAATGTGGTGCTTACCACTCAAAGGTGTTAATTAGCTCAGTAATTGGATTTCTGCCTTCACGCTCCTATTGCATGAACATCAGTTCTGCTGCTCAGGGAGAAGAAGCGGGCTCCCGACTCATTCCACAATCTCAGGGGAAGTACAGAATGCTGGTGTGGTCAGGTGGGCGTCTGCGGTGTGTGCTCTCAGCCCCTGCCTGGCAAAGCCAAGGCTCATTGCTAGGCCACGCTGTCCTGAGCGCCACAGGCCGAGAGTCTAGTAATATCATTGGTCTTCCCAGAGAAACTGACTTACTCAAAGCATCCCTTTCTTATGTTAATACGGCAGGGCTGGTTCCCTCCCTTCAAGCTTTCCCTCCCTAGTCTAAATCCAGCACCTTCTGTCTTATGTGGCCTCATCTGAGGAGCTTAAATAATTTAACAGTAATTTACTTAATTCTACTGCTTCAGGTTCCAGTTTGTCAGCACACACAGACAATTTATGGGAGAAGTATTCCCATTTCTGATGGGGAAGTGTGACTGGCTGGAATGCCTGTTGATACAGCAAAGCCAGGATGGATGGACTGTAGTTCTGGGAGGGGGACCATGGACTGAACCCGCCCGCCCTGGCCAGGCACCAGAGTAGCCACTGGCATGAGTTCTCTTACAACAGGAAGTCCTGGTAAGGAACTTGGAACTAACAAGCCACCACCAACCAGGAGAATTCAGGAAAGGTCAAAAGGAGGGAGGAGACACCAGCCCATATGTCCTGCCAACCTCCCAGAACCCTTTGTGCCCGTATCCATCTTGGCTGAGAGATGCGCGCGTCACGAGGAAGGACCCCGAGTCAGACCAGATGTGGGCCGATCAAGATGATGGACCAGAGGCAACCCGGAAACTAACCCCATCACCATAAAGCCCGAGACTGCGAGCCACGTGGCAGAGCAGTCCTCCTGGGTTCCCTTGCGCTGCTGCTCTGCGCCCAGGCGCCCCTTCCCAATAAAGTCTCTTGCTTTGTCAGCATGTCTGTCTCCTCAGACACATTTCTGAGTGTTAGACAAGAGCCCACTCACTGGCCCTGGAAGGGGTCCCCCTTCCTGCAGCAGTTCTCTTCATGCTTCAGGCAGCATTAGAGAAATCTGGACATCGAGAAGGCAGCCAGACACTAAAGAAGGACACTGTCACCTTTTAAGTTGAATATATACACAAGTTTCATCCGGGTTGGTATTTTTTGATGATTTTTCCATCTATATTCATAAGGGATATTGGTCTAAGGTTTTCTTTGCTTGTGATGACTTTGTCTGCCTTTGGTATCAGGGTAATACTGGACCCACAGAATGATTTAGGAACTATTCCTTCCTCCACTCTTTTTTGGGAGATTTGAGAAGGACTGATGTGAATTCTTCTTTAAACATTTTACAGGATTCCCTGGTGGTGCAGTGGTTGAGAGTCTGCCTGCCGATGCAGGGGACACGGGTTCGTGCCCCGGTCTGGGAGGATCCCACACGCCGCCGAGCGGCTGGGCCCGTGAGCCATGGCCGCTGAGCCTGCGCGTCCGGAGGCTGTGCTCCACAACGGGAGAGGCCACAACAGTGAGAGGCCCACGTAACGCAAAAAATAAATAAATAAATAAACTAAACATTTTACAGAATTCCAGAGGGAAGCCAACTCATCCTGGGCTTTTCTTTGTTAGGAGTTTTTTGATTACCAATTAATTCCCTTTACTTGTTATAGGTCTATTCAGATTTTCCATTTCTTTTTCAGTCAGTTTTGGTAGGGTGTGTGTTTCTATGAATTCCTCCAGTTCAGCTAGGTTATCTAATTTGTTGGTACACGGTAGTTCATAGAATTCTCTTTCAATTATGTAATGTTGGTAGTAATGTCCCCACTTCCGTGATTTTAGTAATTTGAGTCTTCTCTCTTTTTT